GATTCACTAGCAATGGCAGGAGGAAGCCCAGCAGCTTTCCTTTCCAGTTCATACTGTCTAATGTGGGCATCATATCCCCTACTCCCTCCCCTAGAAGGATGAGGCCTCTCAGCTCTTTCTTGTTGTGTTAATCGCGTTAGACCAGCATTGGCTCTGATCTTTGCAACCTCATCTGCTGGATCCTTCCTGCTCATACTGCTTACCGACGTCGGTGAAAGAAGAAGCAGTCTCGTCGTGAAAAAGAAGCTACACTGAACACGCAATAAAACAGGTTACACTTGCTTGTTTGCTACAGTTAAGGGCTTGTTCAATCGACAATCGAAGAGAGCTATCGATTGATACCAAGTACAGTAAGAAAGAGTGAGTGGAAATGCTTCAGATGGAGCAATTCCCATGGTCGGTTGCTTTGAACCGGGGAGTTTTTCAATAGAATGAAAAAGAACAGTTTAGCGTGCTGGATCAGCATGCTGGAGGGAGGTAAAGGTCAAGACACTAGGCCTCAGTACAATTTTGTACCCGGAATCAAAACCCTTCTATTTTGACCAAAATCGCAAGGCAAGTACCTTGATCCACAATTTTCTACAGGATTTTCTACACAGCTTTGTACTAGGATCCTTCCAAATAGACTGATCCTGGTCCTCGCTGAGCAGCTGGATCAGCAGCTGGTGGGCCTGCCGGCGTGCCACCACCGGGGATAGTACCATTGCTACGTAGGCCTACGTTCCGAACGTCTTAATTAACGAAAGTTCAATTGTTATTTTACGCGTAGTATGTGATATATCTGTGGAGGAGCTCGCGCAGCGCGTGTAACCAAATTGTAACCAGAATTTTGTACCTTGGCGTGTCCGTGTTATTATCACGAGAAAAGGATAATTTTTGTACTGTGCGCTCGAGAGCGCACAGTACAAAAATTTTCCTTTTCTCGTGATAATAACACGGACTCGACAAGGTACAAAATTCTGGTTACAATTTGGTTACACACAGTGACATCACTGAGATCGAGAGCTTTAGCTCGAGATCDMAGTGATGTTACTGCAAGTACTATCTTCAGCAACACCACCAACAAGCTCGAGAGCTTTAGCTCGAGAGCTTGTTGTTGGTGTTGCTGAAGATAGTACTTGTTGTGCTGCGCTAGCTCTTCCACAGATATTTACGTAACCGTTGAGCAGCTCAACGTTTCCATGTAACCACGAGCGCTTGGTTACTGCGCATCGAGCAAATGAACTACAAGCACTGCCTCCGCAATGTAGGGAATGGGGCTCTTTTCTTCCCTCCCTGGTCCCTCCCTGGATGCTGCAAATGAACTACAAGCACTGCCTCCGCGATGTAGGGGATTGGGCTCCTTTCCCTCCCCGGTCCCTCCCTGGATGCGGCAAATGAACTACAAGCACTGCCTCCGCGATGTAGGGGATTGGGCTCTTTTCCCTCCCCGGTCCCTCCCTGGATGCGGCAAATGAACTACAAGCACTGCCTCCGCGATGTAGGGGATTGGGCTCTTTCCCCTCCCCGGTCCCTCCGGATGCTGTGACAACCGAACTACAAGCATTGCTTCCTTTGATGTAGGGGACTGGGCTCTTTTCCCTCCCCAGTCCCTCCGGATGCTGCTTTTTCTCAAGTTTCGATGAAAAAATGGATTGATTTTCAGTTTCTGGTACAAATGTCACGTAGGATTCTACGAGAAAATTAGAAATCAAGGCTCCAGACTGCTCAAATTTGTTATAATTTTGTGAGCAAAATCCAAGCGTTAAATCAGTACTACGTAGTACGTACTTATGGTTCAGGCTTGAGGTGAACCGCATCAGCATCGAATCAAAGACTAATGATCATTACCTTTATATCCAGCAATGATTATAAATCMATATATTATTCTTCTACTAATTGTATTGCCGGTGATACTTTGCTGGAAGCTTTTTGCTCTTCAGCAGTATGAAGCTCAGTTCTTATTCGTAGCAACAAGCAAACACAAGCAGCAACAACWYGGACAGCAAAACTGCTTGTYGCCGCAATTGGATTGCTTGCGAGGCTACATAATAAAGCACATCRAATGTCGCTGCTGCAACGTTGCAATGAGCTGCTGTTGAAGCTTGAGCTCATTCGTTGCAGACTCAAGTTTCTTTTCAAGGGAAGCAGTCTTTTCTTTCTCCCATTCAAGCTCTTTTTGCATAAACTCATCCTTCCCCTCACGAATACCGATTGCAAKCTTCTTTTCCTGTAACTCACTCGTGAGCATCGCAATYRACTTCTTTGCTTCATCAAGATCCTTTTCAAGGTCGATGATTCGTCRATGTTTCTTGTTATTGCTATCAACAGGAGGAGACTCAACGGCGACAGCTGCAGCTTTTCTTTTTCCGGTCACTTTCTTCAGTTCTGCAAGAAGTTCCACTTTCAACTCAGTTCCGGGGGAGGAAGAGAKCTTCTTCTTGTCTTTGTCCGACCATTGCTGAACAGCTTGGTTCGACATTGCTGTTCCGACTATAGGAGCAGTAGGCATTGGCTGGTTCTTCTTGGTGTAATTGAACCCAGCATGAAGAGTATTTTGTACTCGCTGCTGAGTTGTTGACGTTGCATGGTCATACACTTGAGAGGACTTTGCACTCTTGTGCCTAAGATGATTCATCTTGAGCTTCTCAGGAACATTCRCATCAGATGCCAACACAGTACAGCATCGATGTCGATTATCATGAGGAGTATACTTCTCTGCATCCTTATACCCAGCTGCTGTGGCAATTTCCTTCACCCACTTTCTTACGGCGTCCTGGCCCACTGGCATGCCGGCTTTGAAGTAATAAGGATCATCCTTGGATCTGTTGCTGCTGTCTTTCACRTAGCATAAGAACCTCTTTTGATCTGGATGGCAACGYRTTCTGTAAAAGTTGATGAGCTTTACAATGCAATATGGATTGGTCTTGTCCTCCACCACGGTTGGGAACATCTTATTCACTGTCGGATTGCTCAAGCTGAGCTGGTTCCCCTTATCAAWYCCTCCCCCCGGGGCAATGGTTACGTATCGATTGCYCTTCATGTTGCCACAGGGGAATTGTCCAAGCTTCATCCACGCCCATTCAAGAAAGACAATCTCATCCCTCCCCCTGAGTCCRAACTGACGACCCAGCTCCATTGCCATTATCTTGAGGAGGTCTTGCATGTCCTCGTAAGGCTTATACACACCAGTTTCAAGCAAGGTTGCAAACTTYGAGTCCCCAAACTCATCAAAATCAGCCTTGTTCCTCTTGGTTCCAAGTGTTGGGTCRACAGCTCGCTTCTTGTTGAAATCAAGCTTTAGTGCACTGAGGAAGGACCCCTTCCCTTTGAAGTCAGCCTCATTGAACTGGATTCCCTTCTCGTGGAAGGCAGAGAACAGCACGCGAACATACACTGAATGAGTGTTTGTATCCAGCGGATCCCCGGTCTTTGCATTCTTGATATTAAGAGTCCAAATCATGAGGGCTTGATTCATCAAGGTCTTCTTGAGGGCGTCCTTTTTACCAGCGACGTTCTTGTAGAATAAATAGTCTTCAGTTAAGCCATCATTCATAGGAACCTTCTTGGTGAACATCTCATACATCACTTTGTCTCCAGGGTTGTTTGTGGCTGGATTCGTAGCTGCGAGTATTGTCTTTACAAACCTTGCGAGGCAGCTCTTCTTTTTTGCTGCATACGCCTTGCTGCTTGATTCAGCTGTTGCAWACTCGTCGCTCCCCAGAGTGTTGAAGGCATTTGGATTACTWATGAGCTTCTTTGCATATTCAAACTTYGCCTGGTTAGTACTAGTAGCGCTTTGTTTGGTGACAGCGTTGGCAGCTACTGCTGGCGTCAGTGCTGGTGCTTTCTTTTTTGCTGGCGCCTTGTTCTTCTTGTTGTCGATAGTCTTCTTGGTGGATACAGCAACGGGTTTCTTCTTCTTGCTGTTGTTCTTCTTGATCGCTCCTGTACTGTACGGATTTCGGATCGGTGGTCTTCGATTCTTTACAGCTGGTGTTGCTGCCGGCGTGGTCTTGTCTGCTTGATCTAGAGATACYCTTCTTGGTTTTGTTGCAGCTGCTGTTCCTGATTCTCCTTCCGGCGCCAACTGGATTCTTTCCCTCCTTGTTATTGCCGCTGGTGGTGGTGGTGCGCTTGTTTGACTGGGCGCAGGTGGCGGCGCCTTCTTTCTTCCAGGACAGGTGTTTTCTTCTTCCCCCCAAATTATCTCAGCACCAATGCTCTTAAAGCTTGGATCTTCTTGCTGTGAGGAGAACAGCTTGTTTTTCTTTTGAGCGCTGTGTTGTTGAGACAACTCTCTGAACATCTCCCTTTGTTCTGGCCACGCGCCGCAGTCGACACTGTCACCATCGTCCTTCTTCTTCTTCTTCTTCTTAGCCGGAGGCTTTGCCGGAGGCGTTGTTGACTTGTTGCTTCTGGTCCTCATGCTTGTTGTTGTTGCTTGTTTTTGTGTTTTGCTTGTTTTGCTTGCTTTTTTGCTTGCTTCCCCCTGCAAATCGTGATTTCTACGGTATTTTCTACGTGAGTTTGTACTAGGAGAATAACAAAAGAATTCAGTTTTCATCGAAAACTGGTCACGATTTTGGTCAGTGCTTTTTACTGTACTACTTAGTATTCAGTACTGAATTCAGTACTACTGAATATCGTGAGCAACCAATATCGTGAGCAACCAAGACAGTTTTTAGTAGCTGTTGTGGTTACATGTGGTTACATGCGCGCACAAGGGAACCAGTGCGCCTGTTTTTGTAACCAGACCCGTTTTTTTTGTAACCACACTACTAGTGTTATCGTGGTGAAAATATGGGCTCTCCTTAAGGAAGGGTTTGGTTACAATTCTTGGTTACAAAAACTCAATTCGYGCGCTTGTACCATGTTGAGGTGCGTGTATTTAAGCAAAAAATAACTAGTGTTTGTTAGTGTTAGTTTTTTGTATCCGCAAAGCAGTAACCAAGCGCGCGTGGTTACATGGAAATGTTGAGCTGCTCAACGGTTACGTGCTGTAATTCAATTACTTAGGAGTAAAAATGGTTGCTGCTGTAATTCTTCACATCGATTCAGGTTGAATAATGAATACTTCCTAGGAAGTATTGCCCTTTTCTTCGCTCATAAAGTATCGGAAGCTCGGTGGCGATTTACATAAAAAGTTGTACTTGTACAGTAGTTGGCAAGCACGAGCCCCGTACTTTTGGGATTTATGTTCTCGTGAACCATCAACCACCCTCATCGTTTCATGCAATAGAATTACCCATTGCCATGGAGTAGGTGAAAGGAACCAGCGGCTCATTAACCAATAGCGAGCGCAATAGTAAAATGGACACAATTTCTAAACGAAATCACAGTGTCGAGGACAGCATTCTCGATGTTTTGCAAAAAGATGGAAACGAGAGCGAGAAAATACAACCAGCCACCAGAACAACGGCCGTAGAGGATCGAAAGGCCAATTTTCCTTCTCCTCTAGCGCCGAACGCATATCCGTGTAAAGACACTCAACATGAGCTCCCTCAACATCCTTCGACATGGCCTCAGCGTCCTCTCATGGTCCGCCCAACACCATGCTCTTCAACGAAAATCATTGGAATTGTAAGTCATGCCAGAGTTCCCTTTGCGACTTGCAATTTTAGTGATAACACTGACCAATGAAATCGAATAATTTTGCTTAGCGTCGTGCTATTTCTGATAATTACGAAAATTTCAAGGGATGTTGTGCTGGATGCATCCTCCCGATCAATAATGGCAGAGAGCTCGAGGGTGAATCACTTGTTGTTGACTTCGAATCGACAAACTTTGTTGGGACTCTTTTCTTGAGAATCAAAGACGTGCCACCGCTAGAAAGGGGAAAAAATGGTAGCATGAATAACGACGAGGAGAACGATATCAAATACGGCCAAAGCGAAAGCATAGACTACTTTGCTGATAGGAAGCGAAAGTTCCAGGCTATTATTAAAGGTCGCTTCAAGAAGGCACTCGCCATGAATCGATGCGTTACGGGACAGAGTTTCAAGCGACCGGCTGGGAAACTACCTGCTAAATGGCTAGTGTCATCTTTTATCAAATTCGTATCCATTTTGGCACCACAGCTAGATGCCTCTTTGGACGGAAACAGTCCCCGATTCTTGACTCCTTTATTAGCCACAGCCAATACAGTTCTATCTCAAGAGAATGGTATTGATGAGACTGGTAATAATTCAAGTACCACAAACAAATGCAATCGCCCGCTTTCGTCAGAAGATGGTAGTCCCTGTCTGAAGATTGACACGACCGTCGACCTCGAAGAACCTTCTTCTTTAGAGCCATCCAGTGTTCTTTCAAGTCTTCTTGCACATGAAAGCAATCCGAGCATAAAGATACCAGATACAAGTTTATATTCTTCAATCGACCGCACAGTGTCCCGTAAAAAAGTTTTCAATCTTCTCAGTGCCATGAATTCTCCAGAACCCCGATTCGATTGCGATCGAATCTACACCTTTGAATTCTATCAACATCTCTTAGAACTTTCTAGATATGCGTTGGACATGGGAAGTGTTGGAGGAATGATACCTTTGGCACAGGCCACCGATGGACAACCTCTAAAGATCATGGCTGCCCACAGAGAAAGTGACGAGAGTCAGGAGCTAGATATACTTTGGAGCTTCGACATCTTCCACGAGTCCTTGTACGCTTACGCAGAGCTTGCAGTTGACCAAGTGTATTCTGATAGTTGAGAAAGAAGATTTCATTTGCAATGGTCCGTAGGTCAGAGCGATAGAACTCCAGAAAAGAGTGTCTCGAAGTAAGTTTTGATAGAGAAATTAGTTCTTTAGTCAGCAGATTATCAACCTAATTATCCGAATGGTTTATGGAGCCTCTTCATCACCACCAGTCTCTCGAATTGATTGAACTTCCTTGCTAAGAGAACAAAGAATGTCAACCATTTTTACAACAGAGTATTGCTTCCCCTCGATGGTAACATCATTTCCAGCATAGTCCTTAAATTTTACACGTTCTCCCTCCTCGACCGGCGAAGGTGAAAGTTCTCCACTGCTGTTCAAACGACCTTCACCCACTTTGACAACAATGCCCTCACACGGCACATCGTCCGCAACTACCTGGCTGGCGATCACAACACCACTGCTGGTTGATAGAGACTCAGGATTCTCATCCAGCGCTATGAGAACATAATCTCTAACTGGGAAGACGGCATCCAGCTTCATCGTAACGCCACTGTAATACAGCAAACAATCGTCGTCCCGAATCATTTGACAGGAATCATCATTGTAAATAATGGCCTTTCCGTCGTACTTTCCGTAGAGTACAGACATACCCTCCTTGATTGGGTTGGTAATACGAATTCCAGTGAATGGATGGATCTTTCCTTTGCCAGCAGCGACAACTAAACCTTCGGTGGGACGCTCCTTGGATTGATCGGGCAGAAGAATTCCTCCGGACGTGGCTGTGAGAGTATCCTTGACTTTGACAAGGATAAAGTTTCGAAGCGGCGTTATGGGCCCACGAATTTCCTCTCCATCTAGTGTGTAAGAGGTGCCCGTTGGAGATGACAGATCTGTTTCTGTAGATCGCAGTGGTGTCGAGTGTGTTCGCCCAACACCTGTGACTGGCGAGCTAGAAAACGCTCCAGCTGAAACGATTAGCTGCCACAGGAATATCGCTGCCTTCATTGTACTTCTTTTGCTTTCACCTATGTTGAATGTTACTTCAGAAGAAAGATGCGAGATTGCGGATCATTCATTCCTTGTTAGTCCAAATAATCAATACGATAGTGATCGCCACTCTCGATCCTCCACTATCCATGACGCATGGCAAATCGACCGTACTCGTACCGGTACGAGCACTCGGTACACACATCAAAACAAACAAAAATAATCAACCTCAGACGTCACAAAAAGACTGATCGCCACTACTGGATTTGAAAATTCTACATTCCATATTCCTTGAAGTAACAAAAATCAAAAATACAACGATAATATATTGTTAGTCATAATAGGTATGTTCCATACGTTGAGAACAAGGGACAAAGATGACGTCAATCGAGACGTTTTTTGAGGGGATTACTTCACTTAACGTGAAACTCGCTGCAACCAATCAAATTATGATTGTCAAAAACACGTGGCCTTCAGGATCTCTATTCGATGATGATGTCTTTCCACGCTACCGCCTGCTGAGGATCAGACACACAAAATCCAAAAATCCCCGCGATTTAGAGATTACTACTTCGTAAAACCGATTCGACTTTTTGTTGTTGGTTGTGAAAGAGTGAAGTAGATGGTTCTCCGGCGAGTTTGGTGTTGCTGAGCCGATATTCCACAAAACCCTATCGGGTGAATTTTTACTGCCACATTATTAGATTGATCACGTTTCTCTTGTTAACAACCATGGCACAAGCATTGGACCGCAGTGGCCTATCCTTTGACACCATAGGAGCCCTATCTCAATTAGTTGAAGCAGCATCTGCTCTGACAGAGTTAGAAGTGAACGAAACGTCGACGAACAAAACGCGATCGACAGTACTCGTTAGTGATGATGACGAAACATCGCGGGTCAGCGCTAAAGTCGTCGGGAAGACAAACTCGTCCTCCGTTCCCAAGAAAAAGGAAATTTTCCCTCAAAAACTTATTGAGATTCTAGCTGATGATTCTGTATCTGACATCGTGTCTTGGCTTGCTCACGGTCGATCGTTTGTTATTCTTCGTCCTGACCTCTTCTGTGAGCAAGTCCTTCCGAGATACCTACCACCGGCGGACTCTCGTGGCAGTACGAAATACCCATCTTTCACGCGAAAGTTAAATAGATGGTACGTAAAACCGTGTAGATCTCGGTCATAAACAAATTGATCTGTCAGTGTTGTCTCAAAACTATATTTTTGTAACGTTGCGTTGAATTAGGGGATTCCGGCAAGCAACGAGAGGTGCAGACACTGGAGCTTTTCATCACCCCTTCTTCCGACGTGATCAGCCTGAACTCTGTGCGAAAATGGTCTGTCAAAAGTCAAGAGATCGACAGCAAGGCCATCAGAAACGAAGGCTCCCTCCAAAAAAGAGGTCTATCCCGGAAAGCTCTCCACCTTCTTTTGGAGCTTGCTCGAAGGCCATGTGCTCAATCAGTTCTGGTTCTGAGAAAACAAGAGACCTGAGGAGCACTCATCGACCAGCTCAAGGAGCTGTACCTGTATCAGCGGACGATCGATCAATAGGTACATCCTCCACATCTTCTCAAGCATCGTTTAGCAACACGGTGGCGATGACTACCAATAATAATTTTGTCGGATCTATGCAGAACACATCGGGGAGAATCGTTTCCGCTGGAAACACTGTTCCTCTTTCGACAATGACTCCTAATATCACGACAATGAGCCTTCGGAGGCCTGGAAGCTCTGGTATTATGCCATTCATTTCTAATGACACGAAGTTTGTTGCAACTACGCTACAGCAACGAGAATCCCTTGAGGTTTTCAGAGCAGCGAAAGCCATGCTATATGACGCATATATGAAGGCCCTTAACGAAGAAGTTTCGTGACATCGACACAGGAAACAATAATGCACATAAACATCCCGCACACACTTGGGCCGAAAGTACCAGTCACTGAGGATGGTTCAGTCCTCATTCTACAAAGTGTACATAAGATATGCGAACGAACCAAAAAAAGCTAATAAAACTAATGTAATCATAAAACGAATCGCTCCCACAGAAGTCTTGAACTAGTGAGTGTCGTGATTGTTTTGCTGTCCATTCATATTCAATCGAGATTTGATGGCTTCAAAGATAAGTTTGAATTACGATCGAGTACCAGGTATCGTACTCGTAGACGTCAAATTGACCTGGAGTATGAGATTTGTTGTTGCGGCTTACGAAACGTTTCATTCTAGTATTGCTCTGTGAAGTCCGAAGAAAAGAACATCAGGCGGTTGGAGAAAAAACAGTTGCTGGTAGAGTTGTCAGCCTTGTCAACTAGTGCGTCATACAGAAATGCGAAAACGTAAGGAAAAAATGAGACGCATTCAAAGAAGAAGTTCTCCTTTTGATCGCGAATTCTTGCTCTGAAATTTCTTTAACTTTTTCCCGTCTCCGCCCAAATCGTGCATTTTTTGGATTTTTTTTTGGAGTTTCCATGATTTTCACCTGTGTAGACTGCAGTACAAATCCTACACAAAATAAGACTGAAATACCAAAAAGAGTTTTAAACAATTACTTTGTATACAACACCTTTTCTGCTCATTCATTTCTCTCCTTGTAATATCCAACCAAGAAAATATAAAACACTCCAAACTGGAATATAAAATCATATCACCCAAACCACCCGGTCGCACCCCCATCAAAACTCCTCGGAGGGAGGTGCTGCCCCTCGGATGAGGAGCTAGTAGAAGCATAGTACTTTCCACCAAAAGCTATGGTTCTGGCCATATAGCGCCTCTTCTAGTTCACGAGGTTAAAAATAATATTAAGATTTTTTTTAAATATCACCCAAACCACCATATTTACCGACATAAAATAATCATATCTCCAGCAAAGATGGATGATGATGATTATTTTTCTGATCATGGTTGATAATTGTTCATACTACTATGGTCATACTAATAGTGATGCCAAGATTTTAAAGCCCAGGCAACAAAAGTAATTGCCTGTGATGACTTTTCAAAGTTCAAGGATATGAAGCAATCAATTTTGATTTTGACAATTGAGAGTATCTGGTCAGTGACAGGAGGAATTGA